AACGTGAATATTGTGAACGAATACGACAGTTTGAGGCAGTTATAAGTGGTCAATCTGTTATGATTGATCAAATGGAAGCATTGTTGAGAGATGCTGAAGGAAAAATAGATAAATTAATAAATGAAAAAATAAAACAACAACAAGCTGCTGCTGCTGCTGCTGCCGCTCAACAACAGAGTCAACAACCAAATGAAAGTGATTCTCATCATAAAGGTCATCGCAGTCAAAGTTCGCGATCATCAATATCAAGTTTTTTGGCACAACAAAGGCAACAATCTGGTATGAGTTCTATAACGCCACGTGATACTCGAAGTCATTCGAGGAGTCATTCGAAACAGAAAAGTATAAGTGGTTCGACGACTATTAATGCCACCGGTTCTGCAGGCTCAACTGGTTCAGGTAGTTGTCTTGATGGAGAAAAAACGAAAGTCAGGTCAATTAAAAGACATTACACGATCAATAAATCAAATGGAACATTATCATTCATCCGAATTGGTGCCATCATATTGTTTATCACCACCTCGGGTATATATATATGATTTAAGTTGTGATTAACTTGTGATATTAAGGAATTATGATTAAATATTTACGTACGTTTTTTATGATCTAATTAGACTCGCATACAATCATATGCAAACCCAGCTTTACTATTTACAGATGAAGAAAAAGTTCGATGCCATTCACGTTTCAGTAATGTCTATTTAATATATATACATATGTTTCTTTTAATTTATTTTCGTTAATATCTTTTAACATATGCATATATATATATTTAAATATATAGGCCTGGCAAAACGATGGGTTGAAGACGATGAAGTATCAGAATGTCAACATGCTGGTTGCTTGATCAAGTTTAATTGGTGGAATCGAAGGCATCATTGTCGGAGGTATGCATCCTTCACTACTAAATTATTTATAAAGCAAGTTGTAACGTAAATTGTAAAGCAATTTGTAACACAATTTGTTAAACAATTTGTAATGCAGTTTGTAAAATAATTCATAACAAAAGTTTTATTAATTTTAATGATTTTTTTTTTTTTTAATAGAACTGGGAACATATTTTGCAGTGCAACTAGTGCCTTCTCGATGTTGCTATTTCCAGATGGTAGTGAAGATTGGGGTGGCGTATGGTCAAGAGTATGTGAAGGATGTTTCAAAGACACATAATTGTTCAAACTATGGCTCGATATAAAAAAATGATAAGATTTTCACAATTAAGAATATTCCACTGATTGATGTAATTGTGAAGAAAGTCGAATTTCTGACAATTTCCAAACACAAACATTAAAGTAAATGGTTTTAAAAAACCAAACTTGTTAATAATGTAATGTACTTTTGAACTTTTGTATTTAGTTGAGTTGATGGAATTTGCAGGTTTATTTACTTAACTTCATTGCATTAATTGTAAAGTATTATACAGTATGTGCACTTATTTTAGCACATAATATGGATTAAGGACTTTATTTATTTTATAATTTATTTTTGTTGGATGAACTTTGGTTATATCTTAACTATATACATGTATATGTACATATATGTAAAAAAAGCATTTGAATGAAATGGGCGGTATTTGTATATTAATTTTTTTTGATAATCATTAATTTATCATTTAATACAAGTTTTAAACACCGCCAATTCACCCCCTTTTTTTTTTAATACGTATTGTTCTTTTGTGGGTAGCATTTAATCAGTATCACATCATAGTGAAATGTGTGAATTTGTCGTGAACGACACGTGATTGAGTTGCCAAAGTTACACGAAGGGCAAGAAGAGAATGACACGCGTATTACAGCCATCATTTTTTGTACGTAATATACAAATTTGGATTCAGCGCATGATTTCAAGCTTATTATATAATTGGTAATTAATTGGTATAAGGCTTAGCGTTAGAATTCTTTAACAAAGGATTCAAATAAATAATAAATGTATAATAAATGGACTAAATGGTTCGAAATTTTTTTTTCATCTAACTATGATGAAATTTTTTATAGCAATAGATTTTTTTTTTTTAAGACTAATTTGTTATATATTTCATCTGAAATTACGATTTTCATCTGAGATTACATATATAATACAGATAATCAGATTTTTTGAAACGGTTTTCACGGGCGGTTAAGCCCCTTGATCGTTGACAAGGACAACCGATCCATTTATGCGCCATAAACATGAACGCAAACCTATAACTTTAAAGACAGGCAGACCTTATAATCGGACAAATCCGACTTTTTATTTTTGTTTATCGGAGTGTACAAGAAAATATTTTTTAAATATATAATTTTTTTTGAACCAATCAATATGATCCAAAAGGATTTAGATCATCATCTTACGTTTGATATAATTTAAATAATTTAAAATGCATTTTACGTAGAAATCTTCGTGTTTACTTGGCCGAAATTAATATGATTGATTGTTACTTATACAAATTTATAAGATAAAAGGTGAAATACGAAACGATTAAATTCGTATTTATAAATATTTTGAGACTATCGTTATTAGTTAAGTTAGTTAAGTATGAGATTTTCACTTTCATCTACAGGGCTTAGCAGAATATTTCTTAATACGGAATTGTAAACTTGGACATATGGAATTGTAGATTGAACCAAACCCTAGATATAAAGCATTTAACTTCATATTAGTTATAGCAGAGTAGATAAACCAATACAGAATAGACTTGTACGTACGTACATGCTAATACTTATTAAGATAATAATTATAGCAAAAATAGTTAAATGAACAAATACAGAATAGACTTGTGCGTACATATGTACATGCTATTACCTATAATTATATTAATTATAGTAAAGTAGGTAAATTAACA